TGCTACTAGATATATCCTTAGAGATTCCAGGTTGATGTTCCTCCTCCTCCTCCTCCCCCTCCCCCTCCTCCCTCTCCTCCTCCTCCTTGCAAACCCAACTCCCTTCTAGCACTGATGATGTTACCTAGCTGGGGAATGACCAAGCTCAAGAGAGCATCAAGGACCCCACAATTCAATCATAAGCTATAAATATTCTCTTCTATGTTACTACTAGATATATCCTTAGAGATTCCAGGTTGATGTTCCTCCTCCCCCCTCCTCCTCCTCCTCCCCCTCCCCCTTGCAAACCCCACTCCATTCTAGCTCTGATATTGTTACCTAGTCAGGTAATGAAACCCCTGCAAGGAAATAACCAAACTCAGAGAGCACCAAGGACCCCACAATTCAACCATAAGCTATAAATATTCTCTTCTATGTTACTACTAGATATATCCTTAGAGATTCCAGGTTGATGTTCCTCCTCCCCCCCCCCCCCCCCCCCCCCCCCCCCCCTCCTCCCTGCAAACCCCACTCCCTTCTAGCACTGATATTGTTACCTAGTCAGGTAATGAAACATCTGCAAGAAAACAGCCAAGCTCAGGGAGCATCAAGGCTCAACCCTCTATTCGACAAATACAAATACAACCCCGTTCACAGTTCAGCCCTGAGCTCCAGATGTTCTTTTCTGTGTTACTACTGGATATATCCTGAGAGATTCTAGGGTGTGGCTACCCTTGCCCCCCCCCCCCCCCCCCCCCCGTCCATCTCCCATCCAGCTTGGATTGCAGTCTCTACATCCTGGCTTCTTTCTGGGGAAACTGTGTGGCTAAATCTCTTATCCCACTGATTCTCCAGGTGTACCTTTACCATAGGAGCCTTAACAGGCAATCCAAGGGCTGCGAGCTAAACGGACAAGATTCACAACATGTTCAAAAGACAGTGGCGGACCACTTCCATATTATGGACAAGAAAAACTGCATGGTCGTGTGTCCATGAAGATATGGGCAGCTGAGCTCCACCCTTTTGCTTTTTTATTGCTTTTTTTAAATTCCTCTCTCTAAAAAGAAGAGGAACACGGTCCATTCCCAGAACGCGACATTTACCTGTCTGACAGATTCCATCTCCTCCTCCATGAGGACTTTCTCTTCTTCCTGTTGATTGACCTGATTCTTACAACTTGCAAGCTCTGATTGGAGAGCCGAGATCTGGTCCCCGGATTCTTCTTGATTTTTCTGGGCATGCTTCAACTCCAAACTGAGGTGCTGGACTTGCTGAAGCAAAGCTGCGTTCTTCTGCAATGAAGTGGCCACGAGAGCGATCTTTCTTATCCCATTTTCTATCCATAAATATATGGATAAAAATATATATTGACTGTTTCCTAGTATGATTTTATGGCTTATTGTA